GGATTGCAACCACAACTCGCTCCATTCAGCAGAGGGCACTGATGGTCTACAGATAACATGGAAGGGCAGACACACGCTAAGTGCAATGCATTATATGCCTTCAGAATGCCTTCAGAAAAAAGCTCTAGTAGGTACAGACACTGTACTGTCTGGTGAGAGGACTGGCAAAAGTCAGTCAGGCAGATGAAACTGCTGGGTAAATAGAAGTGAAATTAAAACTGGCTTAAAACCCTAGAAGTAAACAGATACCTCATTCCTACTCAAATCAACAGAAGTTAGATGCCCACACAGGTACGTGCAGTGTATCGGCAGCAACTTTATGGAGGAAATCCTGATCAATGGGACTTTTGCCCCATGGGATTAAAGCGTCACTCTTTCTGAAGTGTTGTCCCAGAGACAGGCAGTAACATGACATTTTACTAAAAAATGACATGCTCCTCCTCCTTTCCCTTTCCTAAAAACACACTAACCCTTCGAAATTAAATTTTGCTAGAATAGTTGCAAAAAAGACACATTTTTTGAAAAAGATCTTACTTTTGGAGAAACCAAAATGCTTGTTCCAAAACAGAAAATGTATGTTTTCAAAAATACAAAAATAAGGCTAACAGCTTTTCTAGAATTGAAGATTATTACTGCTCAGGAATAGTCAAATGATATTTTGTATCAGAATTAGCTTTTCCAAAATGATGTCATTTATTACAACAGAGCCTATGAAGCTATGGGGCTTCCACATATTAGCTAACAAGGTAATACAGCATCTTTTTAATACAGAAGGTAATTAAGCATCTTTTTTCTTCTAAAAACCTAATAATTAACTTTTTCCTTTTATTCTTCTCAAACAAATTAAAACTAATTTTAAGTACCCCAATCGTGCAAGTTCCTCTATGAGGCTTCATATCTTCCTTCCCCAGTAAGACTCATTCAAACTTTGAAGAGAAAGCTTAACTGAGACTTGAGCTGTATTTCTTTCTATGTTGTGTTTAACACCAGCACCCTCAAAACATTCAAGTGAAAATGCCACTTTCTTCTACTTGACTCTGCCCAGAGAACAGACTGAGCCCAAAAAATTTTAAACAAAAAGACAGATGCAATGAGGAATGGCAACATGCCGTTATGTGAGAAGTACATGCATATGCCTCCAGGTGACGATGAGATGCCATGCAGAGATACCTGAGCTGGCTTGGAAGTCCCTGAGAAGCAAGGTGTGTTAACTCACGTGGTGTGCTGTACTAACACCACTATCTCCTGTGTTCCACTAGCTTGGGGCTTGTCTACTCATCCTTGTCTGGTTGGCTGGGCTGAAGATGTTATTGCCTCCAGCTACTGTTTTCTCCCTTCCAGTCTCCCAGCTGACCTCTCTGCGTGCATGCTTCTTCAGGCACTTCAGTCAAAGCCAGCTGGGTTAGCTTAAACATTTAAACAGCAGTTCTTTGCTAATCAAATAATTTTGACCGAGACAAGCTAGGAATCAGTCACGTGAGCAATTTGGAGAAGGGAAGAGTCCTAAAAGGAGGGCAAAACTAGAAGAGGATGTCTGAACATGGCCCTGGGCATCTCTGCGCTGTTTTTCTGTACTCTCTAAAAGCAGAACAATCTGGGGGTTTTACAGCATTTAAGATTTAAATATCAGATTTTGATCTGACATCTAAAATTAACTGAGTCTAAGCACAGCACAGCATACTTCTCCAATAAAAATAATGGAACTATTGGCTCTCCCCACCGTCAAACTTTGAAAGGCTGAAGCCAGGATGGAGACAGACCAACGCACATGCACCACTGTGCCTAGAAACCCTGACGCTTATGCAGGCACCAACCAAGTCACATTCATCACAACCTTGTTCCCTTAACACGTATCTTCTAGCAAACATTAGGACTAGCCCTCAGATCACCAGTTTTAACACCGGAGACTGGAATATCCTTTCTGTAAATGACATCAGCTAAACAGGGGTGCTGCCGGTCTTGGCCAGTAGGTTATGATATGGTGTTACCACACATCTTCAGAGTACTTATCTTTCGGACTGGCTAGGAAGATCTTGTTAAAACCCTGTGGTGACAGCTGTGCTTGAACATGGCTGCTGCTATGTAGCTACAGTTACAATTTGGATAATCAGCAGTTATCAGTAGGCCTCAAAATATCCACCCCTCACTGCAGCTGCTTGGTTTCTAATGAAAAAATGCAGTGTGACCAGAAAAAAAGGAAAAGTGAAAAAATGGCAATGATGCTTGAATGTTTTTTTTTATTTCTAGCCGAGAATATTCCACGTTAATTAACATTTATTTTGGCAATTTTTACTATTCAGTTACACCTAATGATACATAATGACCTTTAATCTTACAAAAACAATCCACACCTCTAGGATCTGTCGTATTGTCTAAACAAGCAGTTAACATCTGAAATAAATTCAAAATAAAATCCATTTTCAGTGGCAGAAAGACAACTTCAGCAATGTCAAATAACCAAAGTTCATCTACAGCAGTTGAAATAATAAGCTAAAAAATCACAAATTTTCTCATTTGACATAGCTGCAGAGCGAAATTATGACAAACACTGTCAGCTTTGTAAGCCAATAACTACATTAGGCAGATTTCTGCCAGGATGCCTAATTTGCAGAGGAAGCTGATAAAAACAGTAACTAGAATTTAGGTCAAGCTGTTGGCAAGTTCTTCAGCCATATTCATATTGACTTTAAAACATCAGTAGTGAGACAGTTGTCTTTCTCCACCGAAAGAAGTCAGTGATTTGGCCAACTCTTTGTAAATGCTCACCTTGAAAATTTGCTGGGCCCCTCCCCATCTTCATCATCGAAATCCATTCTGTAAAAGCAAGATTTCCAAATCAGTAATCATGACGTTGGCAATGGTGACATGATCATTAAAGCCAGCAGTTCTTAACCTTGTTTGATTTATATTTTGACTAGAGGTGTTAACGACTGTAGATTCCAGTCTTACTCATATTCTCCAGACCCCCTAAAAGTAGCTCATCAGCTGCCAGGAAAACAAAGAATACAAGTTTTTAAAAAAATAAAGTAATAAATCACTGTTCTTCTCCACAGAAATCCACACTGTTAAAATTAACCAATAAAAGGAAATATTAAACAAATGCAGTTCTTGTGAGATGGTCAGAAGTAATATCTCTTAGGCCTGATAGAAGTTTACAGAAATCAGTGGGGACTCTATGTTAGAGGACTGAAATTAAGGCTAAAGAAAATAAAGTTCTACAGCTGTACACATAATAAACACCACGCCACTATTTTTGCCCCAGTCTAAAGAAAGCACATTAGAGGTAGAGCAGAATAAACTCCCAGCCTCCCCGCTAAGAGGATTAAATACATTGATTGTAACTGTGGTACATTATTTAGATTTGCCCTATATTACCAATCATTTCACACAAATTACCAGCCAGCCTGCAGATGGCAACTACTTTGTGGTATTCCTGTGGTCATTACTAAAATGACCTATGGGTGTACCGGGCACCTAACTTACCTGGTTTATGTCCCAGACCACCTTCTCAAGTCAGTGGAAGAGACAAGCTCTTCCTTGGGACAAATCCCAGCCCTCCAGTTAGGCTCCTCCAGGGAGCCACAAAAAGCAGGAACCTCTTTCTTCACTTCTTACACAGACTAGGAAGATTAACTTCCTACATTAGCCACCTAAATTAGTTTCCTATGTTAGGCAGTGTGATTATCTCCTTCCCATCGATATTAAGTCACTACAAAGTTATGCAATAGTATAATTTCCAAAGCATTTTATACATTTTTACACCTTTAAAAAGAGGCGGACAAATATATATCCCAATTATAAGTGAGTGATTCTGCCATTAAGGCAGACTAAGAACCAAGCTGATACAAAATTATCATATACAATTACTGTATTAGTGTATTTATTTTAATAAGAAAACACATTAGTATGATATACAGACCTTGATCAGTCACTTAAATGTAATTCGTGTAGACAGGAAATCATAGTTTCATTTTACAAACAATTTTGTTGGGTTTCTTTAACATTCTAAGCTTTCTAACATTTCAGTAACAAAATTTCATACAATTACAGATTCCATGTCTCTAGCACTCTTCATATTAACAGCAGATATAAGTCATATTAAAGGCAAAAGCCCTGCAGAGTGACAATAATATTTATCTCAGTATTAAAAGAACCCCCTACCAACTAAAAATTAAGATCTGCATGTTCAAAGTGTGGGAACAATGAATGTAAAAATGCTCTCTAAAACTAGATCAGCATAGAGAAGTATGAGTGCCAGTCAGGCAATACTGCCTTGCTTTCTAACTCTGATAACCAAGACAGACTGGTCTATAAAAGACGTGTCTGAGTCACAGCAATCTACATACCATCAGGACAAGGGCAGCAAATAAGCACAGGAATTGGACATGGTATTAGAAAAGTCACAATAATACTTTCCAGATGGTAATAGTGATTATTCATTTATGGAGGAAGCAGAGGGAAAACCATCTCCCCCAGAGTCTTAAGAAAAGATGTGTATTTAATTTGGTTAAGTTTCATGCAATCATCATTTTCACTATAAATTACATTTTTGCTCACCTAATTATCACCCAGTCCGGTCTCAAAGCCGTGACCTCCCAGCTGCCGCGCACAGAACGACACCGACCTCCAGCGGCCAGCGCCCTCGCTCCTGCCAGAGGCCTGCCGCTGAGCCGGGACCCCGCCGGCGCGCTGCTGCCTGTCACCCAAACGTGGCCGTCAGGGCTGGCACCAGCAGCCTGAGCCTCCCCAGACCTGGTGCGTGTGCAATACTCCCAGCAATTTAACATCTACGCTTTATCATCCCGTCGAAGGTATCCTCTTACCTACCTGCTTCTTCCCCACATATAATAATGTGCCTGTAGGTGACATCCCAGAACAAACATCCGAGTTATTTCAATGGCAATGTTTCTACCTACACCGAAAATGTGAAAGTCAACGTTGCAGGAGAGCTGCTTGTTTACAAGCAGAGGGCACGCTCAGGCCAGCACTGGGCTGGCTCCACCTGAAACCACTCACAAAAGCATCACGTCAGGCATATCCTTCACTGGTTTCACTGGCAACTGAAACACAACTGAGAGAAACCTCCAGTTTCAAACTCGGGGGAAAGGGCTGCAGAAAATATATATGCCTATGGGGAAAAGCCTTTTCTTCAGGATTAATTAATTTTTTTGGGATGGATTAATTTTGTAACTCCTTTCCTTCCCCTCCAGTACACTGAGATCCTGTGCCTTGGTAGATTTTCTCAGCTTCCAGACAAATACTCCAGCTGAGTGCCAAGAGATTTTCCCCCCAAAATCAAATATTAGCTCTACTGCATTTAGTCTAGTTTATTATTACTGGAATATAATGCAGAGAATTACAGAGAAGCTGATGACAGTTTAAGGCTTGATTCTGCTGTCCGCACTGTATACCTACTTCCAAAGGCATAAGTGGGACTAACACACCTATTTATCTAGATGGCTGGATATCAGCTTCTCATCTTATAAGATCTTGATGGGTTAATACCCATAGGTAATACCTACCACATTTATAGTGGGCTCATCACTGCAGAATCTGAGTGCCTAGGGTGCAATACCGGACTGTAGCAGACTAAATATTTAAATAATGCCTTTGCTTTGTTAAACTACCTAAAAACTTTGACTTCATTCCAAATGCAAGATTATTAAAAAAACCAAGAAATTGAACATAAAGTTCATTAAAAATGTCAATACTTGTAAAAATGCAACAGCAAATGTATCTGTCCCATCTTTATAATAAACACATTTCCTAATTGCACATTTCACTATGCAAAATGAAAAAAACCTTTCAAAACCTGAAAAAAAATCTCAGTTATAAAGTCCTTGATTCCAATGTCCTGCTTTACAGCAAGGCGGAGTGAAAGATAGGGAATCAGTTGTAACCTTTAGCAGAACACAGCAGAACACATCAAAATAATATTCCAACAAACTCCTCACACCCTGACAGATAAGATCTTCTGTTCAGATAGAATATATTGCACATTAGCAAAACAGTAGAAGCAGCCTCCAAGAAGACAAATCACATCATTTCAGAAGTTTCAGAAAGAGTATCTTTTATCTTCATTTAAAATTCCCATGAAAAAGAGCTGCACTATGCTCTTTTGTTTTGAAAAGACAGCATAAATCTTGTTTTCCTCTTTCATAGTGTTCATGTCAATCGTGAAAAGGCCTGATGTATGAACTACTTATTAAAATATATTTTCCTCAAAAGATGTGTGGGTACCATAAATACCATGACAAAAATATTTTTTAAAATTATTTATTTTTAATTAGAAACATTTTCATACAAAAAACCCCCCTCCAACAATGTGGTCCTGCACAGGTTAAGAAATTGAGATGGGAGAGGATTTGAACATTGCAACAAAATTGTTATGTAAAATTCCCAAGAAATGACAAAAGATGGCTTGTCATGATTATACAGTGTAGGAAGGGGGCAGGCAAGAATGATCAGGAGCAGATGCAGCTGAGAGGCAGATGGGGATCTGTACTACAGCCCTTTGTTCAGTGCAATATAGCGGGGTACACCCGGGGAGGGAGGCTGGTGGGCCGTGGTCTCTTCCTCCCCATATCTTACAGTTCTGGGTCAGAGAAAAGACAAGACCACAGGCTGAACTGAAACAAAACCAATGCACCTGTAAACCAACCAAAAAAAAAAATCCACCAACCCTCCCTCTCCAAGTACAGATAACCTAGGAAGGTAAAAAAGCCCCATATCCTCTAATACAGCAAAGCCTAAAGAAAAAGCACGTTAAATAAATAACATTTATCCAAGTTAGTCATTGACCACTGCAATGCATTATCTTATGCGCTACTAGGCTGTCACTTTTTCCTATAAAGTACTTGCTATAATTTACAGAAAGGAAAAATATTTTTCTGAGCTGTCAATGAAGCTGAATGCCTCCATGGCAGAAACACCTTCTGGATAGCCAATGAGTTTAAACTGATCTACATTCAAGTCCATGCAGCAATTATTCTGCCAGCTTGCCTCAGCAATTATGAGAAAAGAAACAATTTTCAGAGATAACCAAAGCTGGAAAAGATGACTGTGTTCACTAGCTACATTCCTTTATGTTTGACACAAAGCATTCATTTCTAAAATGCCCAAGGATTTAGGTGTACAAAGGTGTATCACCAGGACAGTAATGAAAGAACCAAGTGTTAGTTGCAACTTGCTTCAAAGAGAAGCTAGGAGGAATTAGACACAGCAGGCCTTCTTCCCCTCAATGTCTGAATACATACACATTGAACAACAACAAAAAAAAAAAGCACCCTCAGCTCAGGCTTAGAGAAGGGCTATTAGTTCAGAGCTATGGTGCACAGATAAAATACCACCATCTGGGTATAACAGCAAATCTATACTAACTTAGTCACTGAATTTGCATGTTAAATACATTTAAAATAATTTTATTTTATGTTCCTCCCACCCTCCCTCCACTCCACTTTCTCGCAAGTAGATAACGTTACTTAAAATGCAACGGTTAAAGCATAGTTTTCAATTAGTATCAAGTCAGTATTTAATATAATCAGAAGATTTCACTGTCAGCAGCATCAATCCTTCGTAACAGTAAATTGCAAACTGGTATTCGCAGTTGACATGGTTTATGATCAAAAAAAGAAATCAACTATCCTGCAACTCTAAAGTACAAAAGCTTATATATGGTATGTAGCAATGAAAAGATGTTAATGCTTTGTTTTCTCTTTTGAGTGCAAGTTTGAAAAGGCTTTTTCATTGAACAGTTTCAAAATAAAAATGTGATGCCTGTCAAAGATGGATTTCAGGAGTTTCACAGATCAATTTCATAGAGTTAGCTCAGCATATGAAGCACGCTCAGTGGGCGTAAATCTCCAAATTTTCCTGTCCGAAGGAACCCCCCCTTGGAACAACCATCCTGAGTGTTCATGGCACATCAACTTAGCTCCGCATCCAAGGTGAGGTCCACCTTCTCCCTTGTTGATTCATTCCCGGATTGAGACTCCAGCACTGTTACTTGAGCAGACACCTAAAACTGGCAACATACCTTGGTGAACAATCCCTAGAGTAGTTCTCACGAGGAATAATGTCTTCTCCTTAGGTGTCCGTCAGTGAAGATTTTACTCACACTATCAATCCTGTTAAGCCCTATCACTGTCATATTTAGGGCTAAATATAAGACTAATGAATCTCTTTTGCAGGCACTCTCAGATCAGATACCTCTGAGAAAGCATCACCTAAAGACCGTTATTTGTGATCAACCTTTGATAAAAACAGGGTTTTTTTGTTAATACTAGAGAGCAGTTTTCTGCCCTTTTGCAGCTCTTGCTACACTTTTCTTCTAACACGGAGGATTAGTATGAGTTGCCACAGAGCAATCTGATGTGGAGAAACTATCCCTACACCACACCAACCTCTGAAGTTGGATAAAACAAATTTTCTTCTTTAGCAGAGCCGTTAAGCTAGTGCAAGGGTTGAACTTGACTCAGGCCCTTTCTCCCAGAAGCAGACTATGCTGCACTTCCAGCGAGACCTAGAATATCGTAGACCACAATCTCTGAAGAGTGACTGCTTGTGCTATTTCTGTACCTGTGACTATAAAGAAAACATTTTTAACAGAAGGCCTCTATTTGAGAGGTTCCAAGTCCAAGCTTCAGATGAAGTTGGATAAGTCTGCATGTGCAAGTAAGAACACATCTCGCTACCTTCATTCACATGATAAATCCTTTTGAGATTAAACAGATGTAGGCAATACATATTCATTACATGTACAACAGCCACGGGATCCAAACTTCGTTTCTGGATGCTTTGCCAAACCTGAAACTCTTTTGAAGCACGCAAAACAACAAACAATACAGTTATCAGCAAGTTTGATCTTGCAGGAAGAGCAGATACATTGAAGAGAAAAACAAAACATCAGTGACTAATGCCATAATGTAGTTTACATATATAAACATACACACATTATGTTTACATAATAAACATATACCCATAGGTACATTTTCAATTTTTCAATACCAGTCGTTTCCAGTTTCAGAAAAAAAGAAATGGCTTACCCGGAGCGGCGCTTTCCTCCTCTGGAAGGCATGGATCCTGCCATTCTCACTTGTCCACTTGCCATCGGTGCCACCGGCAAGGCCACCGAGCCAGGAATATCTGATGCCATTTCTGTAATGCAGAGATAGGGAAAGGGGCGGGGGGGGGGAGGAATCCTTTAATCCATTACCATCAAGGAGAAACCTGTGATGACAACATTAGAGAAAGGCCCTTTCAAAAATAAGCAGAGAAAGCTTTCCTTTTTATTTCTAAGGAAAAGTAAACCTCTCCTATCAAAGACGAGCAGATTCACAGCTCCCTTAAAAGAAGCCCAGTTCTGTCAATAGCCATTACCAGTGCCTCAGGAGACAGAGAGAATCGCAGGTAGGTACCTCTGTATTTCAATTTACCTAATGGTTCTAATTTTACTTCTCAGAGGGGCTGTCAGATGAAGGCCAACAAACTTTTACAGTAGTTAAACTGCCCTGCAGAGAAATGCAGAGCTGAACTCCCAAGACCAATGAAGCTGTGGATCATGGTACTAGGGTACTGAGAAAAATAAAACTTCAAAAACTTCTCAGTTTGCCAGTGAGGTCAAGAGTTTAGAGCAGGGATGAATTACCAGGTGACACTGGTTTTTATTATTTATATTCTGGTGGCATTCAGAGGACCAGACTGAACTTATCAGAGCTCCAAGGCTTCCTGTATTTCTGCGTGGTGCCTTGCAGAGCAGAACCGAGCCCGAAATCCAGGCTGATATTCATCCCTCTGCCAATGCTCTGGGTATAGCCACAGGTTAATGAGAACTTCAAACCTCAAAACTTTGATCTGAGGAACAGCAAGAGCACACCTTACGCAACGGTTTTCAGACCGCTAATGGCAACTACTTTTACAACCTATTAGTAACAGTTCATTACACTTCAAAAAAGAAAAGTGAAATATAATATATTTATACCCTTTTCTCCTATCCCGTGGATTAAGCTTGTTTTGCCCCTGTGCAACTCTTGTAAACTATGTAAGCAATTAAAACTTTTTTAATGCTGATATACTTTACTCACTCTGGAGGTAAAATCTACAGTCACAACATTTAATTATCTTGAAAGAAAATGCATCTTCCTTCCAACTTTTCTTTTTTTTAAAACTTGGCGGAGTATCTGGAGCTACAGATAAATATATTTACTAACGGAAAGCAAATCTGTTTAAAAATCCTGCTATTTTTTCCCCAACAGATAAGTACAAAAGAACTTCAATTATGGAAACTTCAATTCACGTTCTTTCATTATTTCTGAAGAGCACTTCATCTCTGCCACACTTTATATAAATCCATTATGCAACATTTCATATGCATTTCAAATAATAACATTTTATCTGTTCACTGATTTCATGAATTTCTTCTAGTACATTTACTTTTATGAACTCCTTTTAAACTAAAAAGCAACAGAGCAAAGTACTCGTCCAATGTTTTTCACCAAAGTGTGCAAGGACAAACAATGAGACCTCTGCCCACAACACCACACCACAAAAGTCCCGCTGTGTCTAAATCTGCTGCTATGTGGAAACACTACATTAATGTATATTAGCATATTTCCTACAAATAAAAGCATGAGCATCCAAAAAACTGGTAAATCACTATTTCCAGAATAAGTACCCTCAGCACTCTAATGCCAATAGTTCACTTGGAACATTCAAACTCACATTTCATGGATAGAACTGAAGGTCATTTTGAAATGCTCTGCTCACTCATTTATTAAAGCAGATGGTAAAAAACATAATAAATCTACCTGCAAAGTGTCCCTGTCACTCAGAAACACATTTCAGTATAGATCATCAAGATCAGATTTTTTTAAAATAGTAATTGTAAAACAATTTCAGATCAACTCTGAGCAGTATTTTAAGAGAGTAAAAACAATACCATATTTGTAATTGTGATGAGAAATTCTTGTAACCTCATTTTCCTCAATCTAAATCAAAGATGATGAAAACCCAGGTCAAGGGCTGGATTCATCTACTCTTAAAAGTCTAAAAGCCAAAGCTAATCATTTAAGGTAACTTTATAGATCGCTAAAAGGGAAACAAAGCACTATCCTTGCACTACTATGCATCCCATGCTTAGAGGTGCATCCAAAATCGCTTGAGTAAACCTCGTTCTATACGTCCCTTGCTCTTGCCACTGACAACTCAGGGAGACCTAGACAGATAGTTTTGATCAGATGTCCAATTTAGGTGGTTGTGGCTAGGCAGAATGAGTTGCTTTTCTGCTCTTATGTTCAGCGTTTAAGGTATGAAGACGTGAGAGGGAAGGGTAGTTAGCAATTTTCAAGTAGTAAGGAAAAACAGAAACTGTGTATTTTTTGTAAGAAAAAAGAAAAAAACAAAGGCTAGAGGAATGGCCACACCACAGGCTCAGTTATATCAGTGTCCAAAAACACATTCTGCAACAAATAGATCATCTGTTTATCAGGGTATAAGCTGAAGAGTTACTGTGTAGGTATCTTGAATCTCTAGAATGGCACATCAAAAACAGCGCCATGAAGAATGTAACTTCTTACACAAAATAGCCTTCAAGTATGTCTTCACAGTCCTGGGAGAACGAAACCAAAGTCATTTAGCTGGCTGCTCTAAAAGGATGTCTTCCAAAATTTCCATTTCCAAGATACAAGCACAAGAAGAAAAAAAAAAAATCCACACACATTAATCCACGTGAAAGCTCAACTAAGAGGGAGGAAAGCTTCAAATCAGAAGACTTTCCATTATGCAACAGTCTGAAGGTGTGACAGACCTGCACATAGAATCATAAAGGTTGGAAAAGACCTCTAAGACATACATCAATGTGTAAGATACGCAATTTACTTTCCACTTCGGAGTTCCCCATGTCAAAGAGACATGAGCCATTGTGTGACCTATTGCAGTTTTCATAAGACCCTCGAGGGTGGACATACACTGCTAACAAAAGCAATCAGCTTTCCAAGATTTCTTTCCTGACACAACAGAATTAGAGTTCCGCAAATGGAGAAACCAAGAGGGTTGGCTCTCTTTCAAGCCACACAGCAAATCCAGCAGAGAAAGCAACTCCACGGGCAACAACACCATGGAGCATGGAGCACCCGGAACCTGACCTGCCTCAGCGAGCGCAGCCAGGGAAGCAGTGAAGCACCTCGCACACAGTCTCGGTGTACAAACAGTGACACCAAAGAACTACGGGAGGACTTCAGGGACAGAGCTGACAAAATGACCTCATTGCTCAGCTGCAGCCAGCTAGGTGTTGGAAGCCATATCAAAGTTGGACAGTTGTGCAGAAATATAAGCACTAGATTGTGAGTAGAGTTTTTACAGTCACAAACGGAGCAGTTCCCTGCTGCAGGCTGCAACAACTTCTGGGGAGATGATGGAATGGATCTGACCTGCTTCCCAAATTACTTCCATCTCTATTCATCCGCAAGCATCTAAAAGGACCAGATCTTTGATGATATTTTTATATTTATAAAAAAGGGCTGGTCAGAAAAGCAGAAACATGTTATCTCGAAAAATGAGGGCCAATCTGGGAAGGCAGAGCCAGAAGAAAAATCTGATGGAACAGTCAGCTGCTTCTCTGACTAAGGACCTGAGAAGTTACCTGTCTGTGCATGCTCCAGGAAGAAAACAAGAGACACAGGAAAAAAAAGACAGCCATAGACTGGAATCTCAGATAGAAATATTGTGGTAGGGAGGTATTCCAGGGAGCCTATTACCATTAAAATAAAATTAA